GTAATTTGTCTGTCTTTATTATATATATATATATATATATATATAAAATTTTTAATATTATGTTCTATTTTATTCACGGCATATATTATAAATTGATAACGATGAAAATGAAACAAAAAAATTTTTCTCTTATTGATATATTTCATCAAAATATGAAAATATTTTTTTCCTTTTTTTTCTGTGTATATGTATATATATATGTATATATATATACGTAATTCAAATACATATTGTAGTGAATAATATTTCTTATCAATTATACAATGCAAATTTAAAATTCCTGCATCATATATCAAAGAATTATTATAATTCTATGTATTTATTGCGTAATTTTTTTTGGACAAAATTTAAACAAAAATTGCAGAAATGCAACAAAGCAAATTTAAAATTGTTAAATATACAATATAGATTTCTGCGTATTTTTGTTATCTGTAATTTCTATTTTAATTTTTGATTTTATTATTTATACTAATATTAATTATTTATTATAGATTCTATCTACGTAAATAATTTTAAAAAACAATATATACGAAATTCGTATTTTTTGTATTAAATTCTTTCAATAAGGAAGAATAATTATATGTATACTTGTTGAATTTAGACAAGAATTGCATTGAAGTGCCCTTTGTTCTTGTAGATCAAGGTATAGTGTACAAGGAAAGAATGAGAATACCAAAAGCGAATTTTATATTTTTATAATAAAAAATCTGTATGTTAATGTTTTTTTAAAATGATAATTAATATTTATTTGTAGATAATGATTCATTGTATATAAATATTATTCTTTTTCTACGTTTGTAAAATATACTTAAGTTCTGATAATAGTACAACAATTCATAAATCAATTATTGCATTAAACTCTTTGTAATTATGTTAAAGTATAAGTATTTTACTATTTTGATTTTTTAAATTATAGAAAAAAATATGTTTTAAATTGGTATTTAAAATGAATAGGTATCACATGTATACTTACTATAATAAAAAGTATAACAATATATACAATATATTTTATTTTTTATATTAGAAAATACATAATTGAAAGAATTTTATTTCTTATGCAAATTCACAAATATTGAATATAATATATTTCTTTGTGTTAGCAAATAACTAATGAATAAAACTGATTATAATTGATTTGTTTATAAATATATAATACAACAAATATTTCTAAAATAAATATTCAAATGTCTTCATTATTTTTTGTATTACCTAAATCTATATAGTAATTTATATATTGATAAATTTCTTATTTCAAAATTTAAAAGTTATTTTATAATCATTTTATTTGATCTACAAGTTAATTATTTAAAAATTACTATGGATTATCAAAAAGTACGAATATATAAAATAAATAAAATATTTACTTTAAATTCAAATTAAATAAAATTCTAATTTATTCTACGTTAAATTTATTGAAAATTTTTTTCGAATTTCGAAACGAAAATACGCATTAATTATATTCTTATTATTTTTTTTATAATAAATTATTGCATTAGTTAACAAATAGTTATTTAGTTCCATATATTTTCAGCTAATTATTTTGTAGCAATTGGACATTTCATTATATTTTATCTGATTAACTTAAAAAAAAAATATTCTTTATCAAGCTAAAATTAATCGAAAATAGTTATAAATTATCTATATCTTTTACAATTATGAAATGAACAGAAAAAATTTATTGATAAGTTATTGATATTTTTATTGCACTTAAATATAATGCACTTTAGATATTATTCAATCAGTTATATTTTATATAAAATTTTATATATGAAAATATGTATTAAAATATTTAATTTCGAGATTTCTTTTTGTTCTTTCAAGCATGCTGAAGAATATTTTTAATTAAAAATATACAAATTTGGATAAAGAAGACAGAAGAGCATTTGTTCATTATGCGTAAATTAAAGTTGCTATTAGAATTTATAGATCATGTGTATTTTTTATTAACAAATATATATATAATTGTTTTTTTATTTTAGCCTTGGAGGAAAGACTGCTGGATTTTTAATTACCTTATTGGTAATATCTTCGTTTTAATTAGCATATATGATGCTAATTAATCCTATAACAAGTTTAATATATGGAGGGGATGATAGAAACAATTAAAGTGCATAAAATTCCTTGAAGAGGAAAGTAAACAAGATAAAGAACCAAATGACACAAATTTAGAGATTGAAAGAAACAATTTACCTTGATATTAATAAATTATACGGATAAAAACATATTTCATGAACTTATTAAAAAAAATATATGACATACAAAAACAATAAAAAGGAATAAAGAAGTGAAAATGTGCGCATCATATATATATATATTTATATATAATATATATATTGAGAAAATATTATAAACTTCCATTTTCATTGTTTTGTATATAATCACGCAGAATTGTTGCATTGATAAGAGAAGAAACGTAGAATATTTCTTAAAAATGTTCGTCACGAAAAATAACATTTTTTTACATAGTGTGTGTAATGCACAGTATTAGAATATAAATAAATTCTATATTGAGCAATATGTACGTCAAAACGTACAAATATATGTATATAGAAATCTATATATATATAACTAATGTGTGTTAAAAAGTATAAAATTTGTTAATAATATCATTATATTTTTTAATTGTTCTTTCATTATGCTAAAAGTTTGAATGAAAGTAAAAAGTGATGGTACATTAAGATTTCAGTGTTTAAATATTAGAACACTGTCACTGTCCTTTTGTTATATAAAAGATTTTCTTTATTTTGAATTTCCGCATAATTTTTTATTCTTATCTTTTATTTTCTTTCTTTTTTTTATTTTATATATTAAAAATTACAACTGAAAACTAATTAAAAATAATATCATCAAAAATATACTATAAAAATATCTTTAATGAATTTTGAATGAATAAATGAATAAGAAAATGAACAAGATAAAAATATTATAAAGCATAATATAAGAATGAAAATATTATAAATTAAAATATTATAAAGGAAATATTTGAAATATTTATATATTCAAGATATTTAATTAAGATTTCTTTAGATATATATTTTATTCTTGTTGTACAGAATAAAAAATTTTTTTATTATCATTTAAGATTTATATTTGTTTAGTTATTTGCATGCAGCAAATAGTTTAAACTTATAAATAACTTTCATTCAAGCACTGAAATCATAATGTTGAATCTATAAAAGATAAATTGACAATTTTAATTTATGTATATCAGAAGATAATATAAACAGATAGTACATTATAATCTTTGTCAAATTAACATTATTATTTTAATTTAGTTGTAAGTAGGTTTTTTTTTTATATTCATTTGTCACACCGGAAAAAGAATTTATATTATATTAAAAATTATAAAAAAAATTTAATTAAATTAGTTACATAATTTCATATACAGTGAAGTGTCAACCATACCTTTATAAATTTTTTTTTCTCTACTTATATCTTAAAAATGATTTCAACACATTTTCAACATACTATTTTCTTTATTAGATTTAATCTACATTTATATTACTTATCCATGTGTTAACTACTTTTATTATATAACATTAAGTGTCTATTAATTTACAATACAATAAAAAGTAAAAAAAATCTCATTATTTAGAATATTTATCAAAACAAATTGTTATTGATCTTCTATGGGTTATTTTAAATTTTTTAATTAATTTAAAAAAATCAATTACTTTGAATAATTAAATTAAATTTTAACTATTCGTTTTAAAATTTTATTGTTAAATGCATATACTTTGTTTATTGTTTGTATCAAATAACTATTCAATTACTCATAGAGGATCAAATTACAAAAGTAAGAATGTAATAAAATGAAAATAATATATACTGTACAAAAGTATAGTTGATACTACACTGCTTGTATCTAATTTTGTGATATATTAAAAAGTTTTATACAAAGAAGTAGAATTGAACTGATCGCGAATGAGTGATGTTTCGTTTATTGATTATCAATTGTGTGTTTTGCTACTAATTATTAAAAAAAATACCAGTTATGATAGTGTTAAAGATTAAAACGTATCTAAATATGGGAAGGAAATATTGAGAAAAAAAATTTGCAATTTTCATTTGTCTACATTTATCTTGTGAATACTTAATACTATGCTCTTATTTTTGCTATATATGAAAATTGACATTTTTTTGCTGCCTCAACTAATGTTATGTAATAAACATATATGTTTAAAAAAATCAACAATAATCAATTAGAAGAATAACTCTTTAAAAACTACAATTTTAATCGAAGTTACTTTATTCAATATAAATAAATTTTTAAAAATAATGTTAAATTTATTGTTTTAAAATAAAATTTAGATCATTGTTTACATAATTTTATTATATATCCTAGATTGAACAATCTATCCTTATATAAATATGTCATATAAATTATGCAGAGCAGCATATTATTCGTATATTCGAAAAACTTTGAACAAATTTTATATTATTTAGAATTATTCAAAAATCTTTGTGTAAATTAATTAATTGAATATTGCACTTATTCAAATAACAATATCTTGATTAATTTGCTGAGAGGAATATTAATTTTTTATATTTGAATAAAATATTACTTTGTTATATAATAATATTTACTCAATAAGATAATATAGAAAGTATATTATATCAATTAAATTATATTTATGTTTATTTTATAATTTCTTTAATGGCAGTATTTTGACAAAAATATTTCGATTTAAATTTTAGTATAATAATTATCCATTATGAGTTAAATTTAGCATAATAATTATTATTTTGTACTATAAATATGAATTTATATATAAAAATTTATTTAAAAATATTTTCTATTTTTTAAATTACAATTATTATCTATTCAAAAAAAAAAATTATTTAATTTAAACTTTCTTAAATCTTGTGATTTAATAAAAAATTTTAAGTTAAGAATTCTTATAATTTTTGACAATATCTGAATAAATATTAAAAAGTACAAATGAATTCTCAATTTGCATATAAAATTTTAAACATTATTATTTTTATCATTTCTATATAGTAATTACTTAATTACTAATTAATATAAATAAATAATAGTATTTTTATCTGTTACATTGTATTATAAAACAGAATAAAATTTATTACAAAATTCTAAATTAATTAGTATTAGTTAAGTAGTATTATTTTCAATTATTACTATTTAAAAATTAATGAAAAATTATATTCTATAAATTATATTTTGGCTGAATTATTGCACTTAGTTAAAACTACATTATCATGTAATATTTTATAAATATACTCATTTAATTAGCTTATATTTTATGTTAAATACTTAATAAATATTCTCTTTTTGCAATATATTTAAACTATTTGTTTTTTTAAAGTTCTATACAAATTTTTTTAAAAGTTTTATAGTTGATAAGATGCATACTAAAATTTTTTCGTATTATATATATTCCGTATGTACAGAATTTAAAATTTCTATATTGCAAATATTTTAAAATATGTGAAATTTCTTGCATTCGTATAATGTCAAACTATGATTAATATATATGCAAACATTGAATAAAAAATTTTCTATTGAATTAAATCTATCACATAATATATTTACAGCCAGCTTTTAAAATAATACTTCAATTTTCCCTTACCCTGTCCTTAAAATGCGAAAGAAAATATTGAAGCCGTCTCTATGGTAAAGATGGTAATGATGGTAAAGGCGGAGCTGGTGGCGGTAATATTTCATTTTCTGTAGATACAACATCTGTGTGCTTATGCCAATCAACATATAACAAATGTGACAAACTCTGAAGACCTGCCACTGACATTCCCCGACAATAACGTGTATCTAGATAATGTAAACTTTTGCAATATAATTTAATAGAATCGAGAGTGTGATCTGTGAGTTGCGAACATCCCTAAAAGAAGATCAATATTACATCTTAAAAATATAACAATATAAAATTAATTTTTAATTATAAAAGTACCTGGATGAGAAGTCGTTTCAATCTATGCAATCTTTGTGCAAGATATGATATACCAATATCTGATATATTATAACACCGATTTAAATTTAAATATTCAATGGCTGGATTATTTTTCGATAAATAATCCAATCCAATATGTGTAATCTATAATAAAAAATAATATGATAATAAATTATATATGTTTTTTTTTATACATTATTTGAATTATTTAACACGCACCTGTTGACATTGACTTAAATTTAAAATTTTTAATTCTGGAAAAGCGAATGCGTGTTTTAAACTGACATCGGTAATTCTATTACAACCAGAAAGATCGAGTTCTTGGAGACATTTGAGCCTGATTAAAGAGAAGCCAGAAAATGGATTTAATGGTTGAAATACATTTTCACAAAGATGCATAATTTCTCGTTTTCGATCAGCGTCGCGTACTATTTCTTCTTCAGCTTTTGAACGTAAACTGATTCTAAGTCTAGATTCTGTAAATTCTGGTTTATGTACAACTTGTATTTTTTCGACATATTCATGGTTACCAGTACCCATACCCGTTAAGCCAGCATCACTGACCTCATCACAATGGCTTATTTTTAATGTTTGTAAATGTACAAGCTCCTTGAATATCATCTATAAAAGATAAACTTACTTTTATATGCATGAGCATCATCGCTGGTACAAAAATTTATGATTTACAGCGACTCTCTTAAGTTTTAGTAATTCCTGAAAGTTCAGGAAAATAATCAGCATAAAATCTATTAAAAATCTATCATTTTATCATACTATTTTTTCGTTTTTTACAAATATAACATCCTTTTCATGAAACGCATATAATATTAATATAAAATAATAATAATAAAATGATTTTTACATACCTGTATTGTTTTATCAGTAACACCGTTAAAACAATAACTAAGTTCAAGTTGTTTTAAATTAGGGAAAGATTTGGTTATGCATTCAACTGATTCTTCATGAAGATGCAAAGCATTTGCTGATAATACTCGCATATTCTCTTTTCTTGTTGTTTCTTCTATGAGATCATTTTTTTCTGATGAAGTAAAATTAATATTTTCAAAATCAGTGTTTTGTTCTACATTATTGTCATCTATATAACCAGAACAAAGACCATGAGTAATACAATCACCGGTAAGTAATTCATCTTCCGAAATATCAAGTTCTTGTAAATTTTTTAGTAATTTAATATATTTTATACCAACATCAGTTACAGCACGACATCGTTTTATTTTGAGCGTTTCCAATTTTGTTAAGTTTTTACAAATACAAAGTAAACTAGCATCTGTGATACGTACGCAGAAACTGATATCAAGAACTTTTAAATAAGTTTGATATTGTGTTAATCCTTTAATCCCTTCTATAGTTAATTGATAACAACTTTGTAACATCAGAGATTCCAATTTTAGATCTTGTAAAGCTGACAAAGTAGCTAAAGCATTTCCATCAATCAAAGTATAACCAAAATTTAAATGTTTCAATTTATGTGCTTGTTGTTTAAGATATTGTAATGTATTTAAAAAAGTTAAGATTGATTTTGAAGCTTCAGAAAAACTGATATTTTGAGGATAAAATTTTTTATACAATCCATAATGAAAAGATATTTGACAGCCTATGAGACTTAAAGATTCCAAATTTGGACAAATAGCAACTAGTCTATTAAAAAGAGCATCACTTAGAAAACGATTATAACCAAGGCTAAGTTCTTGGACATTTTTAAATGTTTCTGAGAGTTCTTTTATATCATTCTCATCTTCTAGAAGCCTACCAGACATTAGACATTCTCTACAAGCATTAATGCGTAATACTTTCAAAGACTTACAGCATTTAAAAATTTCTACAAGTGTTTTTTCACTTAAATCACAACATAACTGAAAATTAATAATAATTATAAAATTAAAAACAATTTCTTTATAAATATATTGTAATATAATAATGTTAATATTTAATTAAATTAATTTTACCAATACTAGACTTTTCATATGAGGTCCATATTGATCCCAAATTGGCATATTCCTTTTTAATTCTACTTCTCTAAAAACAAAGTGATAAAATGGTCTTGTAGAATGTTGTAGAAGTTCTATCACTTCATTTAAATTATCTGCATGTGGTCGACCCAGTACTAATTCTTCTTGATCCAAAAATTTCATGGCAAGAGACGCTTCATGCCATATTTGATTAACTAATCCTGCTGACATTCTATCAGATGTAGACAAATATGATAGTATATGTATAATTACCTAAAATTAAAATAGACTTAGTCAATAAAAATACATGTAATTTATATTTATCTGAAAAGAATAAATATATAAAACAATTTGAAATTATTCTTTACAAAATGTATTATTATTATCACAAAAACTTGTATTTAAATTTTTATTACAAAAATTAAATTAAATTATAATTGTTAATAATTATTTTTTCAAATAAATGTTTTAGGTTACAATCATTTATTTTGTAAAAGTTTATGTATTTATAATTTAAAGAAAAAAATATAAATGAAAAAGTGATTTAAATAAAAATAAGATTCAAGTTAAATGTAAATAATAAAGACTTACATCTATAGGTAATTGAAAATTATCCATATCTAACATATTACTCATACGAATTTTGCCGTCAGACATGATCGCCATAATAAAAATTGTTAATAAAAAATCGTAAGTATTTCGTTCTAATGAATAGTATACTTATGAGGATATTAATTTATGATTTTACACAATTCGTGTAACAATCAAATCATTACTCAAATATATTACAATTGTTTTACGATAGTCACGTGCTTTTCGTTCATATTAAAATCATGCTATAAATATAATAGTTCTGATTTGCTATGTAATACATAATATTTATCACAAAACTGGTTAATTATATTTCATTTTTAATATTCTTACTTCGATACTATCATTGCTTGATTCATCGAAACTTAATATACAAGTAAACAATATTTTTCTATTTATTTTTATAAATGTATATGTATTCTGATAATTTCTGAACATAATATTTAAAAAGAATAATTTTTTACATAGTCATTGATTAGTTTTAATCAATAAATAATTTGTAACTACATATATATGTAGAAATCATTCTCTTCGACAACTTATATCTACTGATCAGCTGATCTGTCAAAACAACAAATCAGCTGGATGGATTTAATGGCTTTTGTCCCCCATTTTACGGAAGTGCCAATTTTGGAGGTAAATTAAAATTCTACTTAATGAAATTCATAATTGTATAATATTTAATTATTTATTATAGTTTCATCAATAATATTATAATATTTAAAATCTAAATATTATTTTTATAATTCAATGAAAAATCGATTTAATTTTATATTACATAGCATGTTCCAGTTACAGAGCACATCTGTGAACAACCGAAAGAAGAAGATGAGATAATGGCTATCAGAAAAGGAAACCGGATTTTGGATAAGTTGAGTCGTTGGTTTATGAGACAACGTGTTTTATATAAAAAGCATCCTTTAACTCGCTGGTGTGTCAAAAGTACAACTGCAGTTAATTATGAAATTTCGAGACACCTCAAATCACATCCTTACATGATACATCCTTTTAGTTTATTCAGGTTGATTTTAAAATATATTTTTTCAATTATTTTTATAATTAAAATATGATTTTAATTTTTATAGAATTTTTTGGGATTCAATAATGATTATATTCACATTTGTGGCTCTTTTGATCACTCCAATAATTATCACATTTCACTTTGATAAACTCTTTACCTATTTTGTGATTAACGACATAATAAATATAGTATTTTTATGTGATATTATCATGTGGTTCTTCACGGGTTATTATGATTATCAAACGAAGCTTACTGTTCTTGATCCTATGATTGTAGCACGGTATTTTAATTATTAAATGGTAATTTTGATAGATATTATAACTTATCAATAATTGATATTTTTATTTTTATGCAGGAAATATTTGCAGAGTTATTTCCTAATAGATTTTTTGCCCATATTACCTATAGGAATCTTCATTTTTATTCTACCTAACTCAATATGGTATTGTGCTACATTAAATATGATGAAATTATTAAGAATTCGCAATATTCTTGCTTGTTCTAAAAGACTTCGCGACGTTAGTTATCTTTACATTGATTATAATGATAAAATTATAAAATAATTACAAATGCTTTAAATATTTTTATGATTTTAGGTATATAGAATATATTTTCAATTGCATAAAATTTTGGAAACATGTGTAGTTATTATAATATGTATTCACTGGGCTGCTTGTTTAGAATATTATGTTCCTCTATCTGTATATGTTTTAAGCACTTTAAGTAATGAGTTAGTATTTGCATTTCATTATATATATATTTTGTTTCTTTAAATAAATTCTAATAAATTCTAAATTTATATTCAGATCTTGGATCAATTCATCATATTTTCAAAACAGGGAAACAACAGCAAAGAAATATCTAGTGTGTTTGCATCGTTCACTTATCGCTTTTTCTCGTTCTTGCCATTTTTTAGATATGAAAACGAAAGAAGATATTATATTAAATATGATCTTAATGATAGTTGGATGTTTTGGTGCCATATTTTTATTAAGTAAGTATCTCTTTATTATATACTATCATTGCAATAATACAAATAATAATTATCTTTTTTATAGCGCAATTCTCGCAATTAATAACAACATTTCATATAACAATTAAACATAATTTGAAACTGATAGCACAGTTGTTAGAATATATGCGATACAAAGAGCTTCCATCTTCTTTACAACTTCGTTTATTAACATTTTATCATTATCGTAATAAAAAAGCTTTCGAAAGAAATCAGAGAATCATAGAGGAAGTTTCACCTTATTTACGGGAGGTTCATTTTACTTTTTCTATAATTAAAATAGAAAATGCAATTATTTGAAATTATTAGCTTCTCTAATATTTTATATGAAATATAAAAAACTAGTAATTTTTTATATAAGAATAGATAACAAAACATTATCATTGTAGATTTTAATAATGAAAATCTTTTTTTTAGGAAATCGTTTTGCATAATTACTTGAAATTTGTTAAAAGCGTAGAATTATTCAAACATCTACCAAAAAATATAATAGTACAATTAACAGGTGCGTTACATTCCGAAATCTATATAGCCGGTGATGAAATCGTTAAAGCTGGCACCAATGGCGAAGCTTTGTATTTCATTTCTTCTGGAACAGTAGCCGTTTACAATTCTGCAGGAAAAGAAGTATGTAATGTTACCATTATTATAGTTTCATCGACTTTTTTTCTCATGAAAAATAAAAAACATATTTTTTTTTTTTCATAATGAAATATAAAGATTTGTCATTTGGAAGATGAAAGTTATTCGGTGAAATTGCCTTGGTAATGGATACCGAGCACAGAATAGCAACTATAGTCGCAGTGGAAACTTGTGAAATATATGTGTTATATCGCCACGATTTCCGGAGATTTATAGCACCATATCCTGATCTCTTAAACCGTTTGCAAAATATTGCTCTTGACAATTTGAATCAAAGTCTTCTTGTAGATTCAGAGAATTTAGAAATCTTTTACACACCGCAATATGTTAATATAAGTACTATACAACGTAAGAAATTATAAATTTAAATGTAAAAAAATACACTTTAAAAATTTAATATTCATTAAATGGTTGAAAAATTAAAATTAAAATTTTAAAAGTTCGTTACATTAATATTTGAAATAGAATATTTATTATAATTCTAATAATTTACTATTTTAACAATTTAAAATCTAACTTGTATAATCTAACTGCGATAAATTTTCCGTCTATATGGATTCTTATACGATTGTTGATAAACTGACATAAGTCTCCAATGTTCTGGAAAATCACCATCTCTATATCTATTAACAATACTAAAGGGAGGGACCAAAGAATCGATACAAAAAGATTTTTTAGCAAAAGGAGTCTTTGGTCTTGGTATCGTTAATTTACTTTCATCTTTTTGTTGATTATTTTCAGTACCCAGTGCTAATCCAACAGCAGATCTAATCAATCTAGGATCAATATTTTTCATATTGCAGGCAACACACTTTCTAAACATTTCTCTTTTTGGTTGTTCTTCGACTTTATTCTTCTTCAATATATTCACATTCAAATCCTTGCAAGTACAATCATAACATTTTACATTTTTATTGTTTTTTCCTTATTTTTGTAACAATAATCTTCTTGTAATTTGCATTGATCTCGGCAGGATGTAGAACTTTTCTCGTTCTTTGCTGTTTCAGAATAAACGGAAGCTCTAGAAGTAGAAGTATGCTGAACAAGAGTAAATATAGCTGGCGCGACTCCACCTTTTGAACCATCAATATGGGTAGACTTAGATGTTTCGTAAATTGGATTTATCGGAGTTTCCCAACAAATAGCTAAATCCATTTTCGTCTTGGGCTCTTTACAACCTAAGACTGGTCTATAATGTTTATTTGCATTCATAGAATGATCTTTAAATTCTTGTTTACAATAATCACAATATTTTTTCGATAAAACTTTATCAGAAGATTCTTCTAGTCTTACGTTCTTAAAGACAGAATCATCGACTTTATCGGGAAGAGGTTGGTGTTCTAAATTCTCTGCATGAAGCTTCCTTGCTGTAGCAAATTGATCATAACAAGTTGGTCGATTCTGTGACAATGGTTTTGAAAGATTTTCCTTGACTTCTTTTTTTCCAAAGCATTCTGGCACATGTTTATTCAAAGAAGATATTCTTAAATTTCCCGAAATGTATCGTGGCTGACAGCATTCGTGGGATTCGTTGCTTTCTGGATGAACTAATTTTCCTGGGCAATAAGTGCAACATTTTTGAGTCTTCATATTTATCAGTCTTCATTTCCTTATATTCTTTGTAGATAAATTAAAGCTCATAGAAAATACGAAAAACTGTTAACTTTTTAGAGAAAAATTTAACTCTAATAAATGATAATAATAAATAATAATAATATTGGAAAGAATTTGTTACAAATTTTATATCTATGATTATACGTTTAACTTAACTCGACAACTAAGAATACTACATCCGATCTTAAAATTAACGAGAATGATTGTTTGCTTGACAACGGAATAGCTCGATAATCAAGATATTCTATATAACATAGTTATATAGAAAGAATTATAAATATCTTGGAAATAAATCTTTAAATCGAACATATTTTACAATAAACAAATTATTTAATTTTATTATCTAATTACGATCTCTAGATATGAAACTATTTAACTATTTTAACTTAGAATGTTTTAATAATTATCTAACTATATCACATAATCACTTTTTAGAACAAAGATTGTATATTCAAATTGTTTCCAAATAACAATAAAACGAATCTTGGAATTACAATATATAATTATTAATAGCAAAACTTCCTGATATTATCAGGAATCACAATTTTTCATATTGTTATATCATGAACATAGATGTATTTGTAACAGATTCATTCGCATTTGGAATCACTAATGATGTTGAGGAAATATGATGAGGTTTTATAATACAATTTTCTTAGAATTCAATATTACTTAGAATTACAGATTTGGAACTTTACCGTTTATTTCCAAGTTCATCGAATATTATATTCTTCGAATAAAATTAGTGAAGATAAAAATTTGCGAATTTTTTTTTATGTACACTTTTTAAATAATATTATTGGAAAAAATTAATTAAAAAAATTTTACAATTAAAATTTATATCATTGTTTAAAAAGATTTGTTTTGATTTTATTAATAATCTTATTTTTTATTGATTTTGCAGATTTACATATTATTTATAGTTGCATATTGATCATTTCATTGGAATAATGCCATTCCCCTTCCACTGCAAAAACCTTGACATAAAATATTAGAGCGCGTCTTTAAATATTTCTGAACGCATGGCAGTTGCACATAATATGTGAATCTTAAATCATTTTTTTTTACCATTTCTTATTAAATTAAATGATAAATATACTAACGAAAACTTAATGAAATAAATATTAAGTATATAAGAAATTCATAATAGATTTTATAAGAGAATATTAAATAAAAAAAAAAATTTTTGAAAAAGAAAGTGACTTTTACTTTTACTACTTTTGTAATAAAGTGGACTGACATAATCTAAAAAAATATTATGCTATTAAAAATATTGTGCTACTAAATGATTAATTTCAACAAATGTAGTCTACAGAAAAATGGTAAATCCAAGAAAAACATGAATCATATAATTCTCATTGAATTGCAATGTTGCATTCTATTAAAACCTTTCAGTTAAGTAAATTGGTTTCAGTTAATGTTAAACGTTATTGTTAATCACAGTTATTTTACAATCGTAAAATATATTATAATATAATATAAGATAAATAAATACAAAGAAATACACATAAAATATAAAAAATGTGGTGTATTGTTAAGATTCATTGTGTTAAAATTCAATAAAAGTGGATAATATAAATTTTTTTCTTCTATATATTAAAGGAATGAACAGAAAGAAAGCAAAAAAAAATTTTTATGAAACTTACATATGTGCAAAAGAATATTTTCAAAAAATGCATTTTACTATACTTACTATTATCTGAAAAATATTGAAGATATAGATAATTTGTTAATCAAATGTGTAATATTATTTAAAATATTGAAAAATATTGAAGATATAGATAATTTGTTAATCAAATGTGTAATATTATTTAAAATAAGAAATTGGAATTAAATTATGGCTCGAAACAATAATAATAATGAAATTATATACATGGATGAAATTGATAAAGTACCAGAATCAGCTTCTAAATCATTGGAAATGACTGTTGGAGTACGTTCTGATGCTATGATTGAAACTGATAATACAAATAATCCACGACCGACTGATGATCCAGAAATCAACGACCATGAATTAGCTACTAATCCTTCTGTATTTGATTATCGAGGTACAGATAGTGGTCTTTTATCAAGTGAACCAGGATTATCAGAAAATCCAAGAACTCCATTTTTTCCACGATCACCTCTTCAACCGATACCTGACGTGAATATCTATCAACACAAAAAAACGCTTGCTCAAGGGATGATGGATTTGGCTCTTTTGTCTGCCAATGCGAATCAATTGCGTTATGTTTTACAAACCGATGGGGGTCATCAATATTATTATCCTTCATTGGTACTAATAGGTTCTAGTATATTGTTGCAAATTGCAGTAGGAATAGGATTGATATGGAATAGCAAATATAATATTAAAGACGATGCTCAAATGTGTAAAGCTGACCGGACTAATAATTGGACAGTGATTGGTATATTCTTAGTGACAATTTTCAATGTTTTCATCTCATCATTTGGCGTTGTTGATCAAGTGTCGATAGTACCTATACAAACTTAAAATTGTTACTGAAATAATATTATTAATTAACGAGGAATTATAACATTTTATGTTATAAATAATATACTTGAGTAATCATAAAAAAAGGTATGGATTTTTATTTTACTATGAAAATTAAACTTGCACACAATAGGGAATTGATTGTAAAATTTCCTCCAGTTTCTTAAAAAGCTTCTCTTTTTTTTTAGCTATATTTTCTGTCTTTTCATTCAGTTCGGTAGAAAATTCCATTAACCATCTTTCTATTTCAGTATTATTATCTTGAACTTTTAATAAACGTGAAATACATTTATGTTCACAGTTTAAAGAATTCATAGCTTTTTCTTTAGATGATAATGTTTCTAATTTTTCTTGAATTATACAACATAATAAGGAAATGAAATTCGAAACTTCATTCCAATCCATATCTTCTAAATTGACATTTTGTAACTTATTGTGTTCTTGTATTACTGTTATCTGTAATTTTTATTATCACTATTTTATTATATTTTATAAAATGAAATATTTGAATATAATATTAATATTAATAATATTTCTATTATTTACCATCCATTCAAAAAATATATGTTCTTTCTTCATCCATTTCATATGTATATTTAATAAACTAGCAATAGTGGATAATTCTTTTATATATTTTTTATCTTCATTAGATAGAACATCTTTATTAATGGTTGAAATACGTTTTATTAGTGCTGCTTCTGATACACTTAGATGTGGCAGTCCACAAATTTTATTGCTTGCAGCATGAATTTTACTTACTAATTTAGTCCTTTCAGAAATCAATTCAGATATCTCTTTTATATTATAATTTACTTTACCATTTAAGTACAATACATTGTTAATTTGTGCAATGATTGATTCTGGTATATAACATTCTGTTTCTTTTTTCTAAAAGATAAATAAATTATATATATTTTTTAATTGCTATTTTTGTTTCATTTATATTTAAAGTTAATTACTTCTAAGTTATTTGAATATGAAAATTCTCTTGCTAATATGCTATTAGAAAGATTTGTCTGAATGATAATATTCAAAATATTTTGTGTTCCAAGGAGCCATGCAAATGCTAATAATAATGCTCTGCTATTTTTATTCTGTTCAGTTAGAGCATAAAACTCTATTGCTGGATATTGTAAATATGCAAAATATAATTTAGTAGCCCATATTATATCTAAAATAAAATTAACTTATTAAATATCTTTTAATATTTAGTAAAAAAATTTGAAAAATCAATAAAATTTACCATATTGTTCAAAATTAGTTTCAATTTGTTTCTCTTTCACAGCATAATAACTTAAAACATTTAATATTTTCCAAAATACCTTATCCTGATACAAAAAGAATTATAAGTTAAAAATATTTATTTTATAATATTTTAAAATATATAAATTTATATTATATAAAGGTTATACGATATTGTATGTAACACTCACGATATTTTCATCCATGCCATTGAATTTTGCTTGTCTAAAATACTCAGGTTTCATCATAACATTAATTGACAAATTTAAATGCTGACATAATAGAGATAAAACATTTTTTATATCGGACATTATTGTGTTTTAAATCGAATTTCACGCACACAAATTTCAGTTTATTTAATTTCATACGCGTTTTTTTTAAATTACATAATATCAAATCAATGAATAATTGGAAGACTGAGTTAATTTTCAAATAAATTTACTATCAATAAAAAATATCTTGATACAGAACTTTAATATTACTTAAAATTGTACTGTTAAGTTTTATCTAAGAACATTTTCTTTAACATTTATAATACTTTAAATATATATTACTATTCTTCAAAATAGTACTATTTTTCCAGAGACAAAGAAAACGGTCACTATTTAACAGTCTGGACTACCTGAACTTTCATAGAAATTCTCGGCTCTAGCAATACTTGAGGATTTTATTATTTAAATTATTATAAGTACACAAATAACAATAATAACAATAGAAATATTTCTGTTCAGGTCAAAATCCAGCTTTCTTTTAAATTAAAGAAACCATTTGTTTCGATCTATCTCTATAAACTATTTGTATAAAAATATACAGGGTGTTTGTTTAATTCTCAATAGTAGATAAATATAAACTAAAAATATAAAATAGTATAATACAATTTAAATTATTTTTATAAATAATGCGATAATTTAAATAAATTTTATATTAGTTTTCATATAATGATAATGAATATAATGAATATTTTTAAATTGTAATATTAAAATTTGAAAAGAAATAAATATTAATTTCTTAATATTTACTTTAATATTTAATTTAAAAAAAAATAAATATTTTTATTATAAGAGATTTATAAAAAAATAAAAATTATTATATTTAAATATAATAATTATAATAATATAATATAAATAAAAAAATATTGATTCGATGTAATGTAAATGAAAGTAAACTTTAAAACATGAATCATTACATGTTAATTTTTATTAATGGTTAATTAATTATCAATATAATAAAATGAATTTTGTTATAGTTTATATTTTTTATGTATTACTGTTATATGAATAAATATATATATATATATATATATATATATATATATATATATAT